GAGTTTTTACTGCAGATATTAAAGTAATTATCACTCCAGAAGCAAATCAGAACTGAACATAAGAAATATGCTAGGCTCTGAAGCGTCAGATGCATCCATTAGAAGATTCTGAACGCTGCCATCAGAAGATCCTGAGCGTAGCCTCCAGAAGGATCTGAAGCAGAAGCTCCAGAAGAATCTGAAGCAAGTCAGAAGCATCTGAACCAAAGAAGAATTCTGTATGAAGACTTTTCAAGCATAGTTACTACAGAAGATTCTGAGAGTACTAAAGCTGCCAGTACTGAGGATCTGACTCAAATATGCTCTGAACTTATACACGCTAAAAGCACACCTGCTGCAAAGACTCTGATTCAGCAAAACTCTGATCAACATCAGAAGGCTCTGATCAAATTAGACTCTGATGATTCTTGCTGAAAATTGATGAAGAAGAATTCAAAGATTATGTCCGTTGGAATATCCAAACGACTCTTTCCTTATTTATGCTAGACACAAGAACACAGACAAAAAGGATTTCTCTGTGCTTTCTTCTTCTAGGAAAGGTCACTTGATGTGAAGACAAAAAGGCTCAGACCTTTTGGTACACTCTTCTCAACGTGAAATACTCTTGGATCAATGTGCCTATAAAAGCAAGTCTCCAACCATCTTCTTCAGTTGACGTTTTACCTGAAAAGAATTCAATATCCAAAGCTCTCATACAATTCACATTCTTTCTAGAATTAATTTCTTTGTTCTTAATATTAAGTGAAAAATCACAGTTGTGATAAAGCTTTATTAGAAGCATTTTAAACACTTGTATTTGTTATTACATTTGATTGTAAGAAAACCTTAAGAAGATCCAGTTAGGATCAGTAGTTCTTGAGAAGACTTTGAACAGTTGTTCTTAGTGCTTACTATTGTAACCAGTTGATTAAATAGTGGATTAAGTCCTTGATTGAGAAAGGAAAATCACTCTAGGAAGGGTGGACTGGAGTAGTTGAGTTCAACGAACCAGGATAAAAATACTTGAGTTTTTATTTCTAAGTTTTTATCTTCATACTTATTCAACCCCCCTTCTAAGTATTTTCTCACCTTCAATACTATGTTTGTGAACAAAGTTGGTTCATCTCAGGGTCAACTTTCTTTTATCTACTTGGGAGTCCCTATTTTTAAAGGAAGACCCAAAGCGATTTATTTCCATCCTTTTGCAGATAAAATCAAAGTAAACTTACTGCCTGAAAAGTAAGCTTACTCTCTATTGCAGGTTGAGTGTAGCTTGTTAGCATCATTCAAATGGTGGAGGTGGAAAAATGGTGCATAAATTTTATTTGGAGTGCGAACATACACAGGTGGAAATTGGTGATTGTTGCGTGGAAACACTGTTGCAAATATATGAAGGAGGGAGACCTTGGTATTAAGTCACTGAGAGTTCTTAATGAAGCATCGAATTTGAATTAGTGTTGGAGTATGCTTAATAGACAGGAGTATTAAGCCAATATTCTTAGAGCCATAGTCTTTAAGTGAGGCAGGCATGTATAGTACCATATTTTCTCTTCAATATGGACAGGGAGAAAAAACTATCAGGAGGTAACAAAGAACAATTTTCAGTGGTTAGTTGGTAATGGTGAACAAATAAGTCTTTAGAGAGATAATTAGTGAAAACTTCTGTTAGTTGATTTAATTCACGATTCATGGGATACTATAGAGAACCTAAATGCTACTTTGAAGGATTTTATTCAAGATGGCAGAATTGTTCTTCCAACTGCGTTATTCAGTCTTTGTCCTCTTTTAATAAATCTAGTTGATTGAGTTTTTATTATTTCTCAGAAGGCTAACAAGCTCATTTGGAAAGCTACGAATAATGGCCAACACTCTTTTAAGGATGCACATAGTTGGTGTAGTAAAACTGTTATCTGTGCTTGGGGGCGAAATCTTTAGAACAAAGCTATTCTACCTTCAAAGTCCTTACTATTTTAGAGGTTGGTGCATGTAAATTGCGGACGATATGCTTTAGTTGCACGGTCAAAATCTTCCATCTGTTTGTAATCTTTGTTGGCAGTAATATGAATATTTGTATCATATCTTCTTTGAATGCTTTTTTGCAAAGAAAATTTGGGACTGGTTGGACGACATGTTAGACCACGAATTGGTTACTAATTTGGAGGTTGTATGAGGATTATTAATGATCATCATTCTGGTTAGAGCCACGTGGTGCATACTACTGTTGTCATGAACTCCATTGCTAATATATGAACTGCTCGAAATCGAGCCAGATTTCAAAACAAGTTACTCCATTGGAAACTTGTTTATGCTGGGATCACTCGTTAACATCTCTATCAAGCAATATCTCAAGTTGCAGGACCAACTCTTCCATCACCGATCTTGTTTTGCTAAAGAAGTTTAAGATTACGCTTCATCTGCCTCGACCTTTGAAAGTGCCCGAGATCTTATGGATGCCTCCCTAGTAGAGTTGGATTAAAGTCAATTTTGATGGGTTCTTTAGTGGTTAGTCTTTATAGGCTGCGTGTGGCGGAATCTTCCACGATGTTGTTGATGATCACCTTAGCAACTTTGGGTGCTCTTTGGGGTCTGTGAATGCGATTCAGGCTAAGCTTGTGGGGCCATTTTAGCCATGGATGTTACTTTTGATAGGAATTAGAGGAACTTTTGATTGAAATCTGATTCCACATTAGTTGTCTCAGCTTTTGCTAACTCCTCTTTTGTTCCTTGGAGCATTAGAAATATATGAGATCTTTGCTTGTCTAAGATGAATAATTTTTTTTTTGTTTTTTGCTTTGCACAAATTCAGGGAAGGCAACCACTATGCATACATATTAGCTAACATTGGATTATCAACTTACTTATTTACTTGGTGGTATGAGGTTCACCCGGAGATTCTAGTAGATTTCAACAAACACAAGTTAGGTTTACCATACTTTAATACTAAGTAGGTTTGAGGTTAGGTTTTTTGCCTCCCTAATTTTTTTACCTATTTTTTTCATTTATATCACGTGCCCTTTATTTAAAAAAAAATACACAATTTTTTCAAAAGTGAATTATAATTTACTATTTTGTTTTAGAATAGTGACCGTATAGAGTGTAATAAAAACGACAATAATAATGTTTAAAAAAAGAACACTCATATTTTAATTGATATCAACAACAAAATCATATAAGTTTTTACATTTCAATTAATAAAAACTAAAATAATTAAGCTAATATAGCAACTAGCATTTTCAACCCTTATTCATTAGATAACTAAAGTTTGATCACAATTATAAATAAACTTTTAATTTTATTTAATACTAAAAAATAATATATATCTTTAACGATATCTAAATCAAAGATAAGTAAAAAAAAAATGAGAATCAAAATAAACCAATGTGAATCTTAATTTACAAGAATGTATTTCCTTTTTTAATGAAATATGTCATTTTAAATGTGATTAGTTCATATTATTGTCTCAATTATAATTCATAATAAGTTATTATAATATAAATTTATTACATACTCATTTTTTGTCAAAACAAATTACTAACATATTTAAAATTCAACAAAAAATAAATAAATTAATTTACAACCGAACATCGCACGGATCTTCATCTAATGGTATAATAATTGTGATTCATCCGATAGTACAATAACTTTGATACTCAAATTCTTAAAATAAAACTACCTACATAATGTCTAATAGTTATAAAAAAATAAGATTTTTTTATGAAATATTAAAAACTCTTATACTTTAATTCTTAAATTAAAATTACATAAATAATTTGTGATAGTTATAAAAAAAAAAGATTTTTTTTATGAAATATTATAAATGAGGGAAAAATGAAAGAATAATTTCTGATAGTCAAGGAAAACACCTAAACTTGTGGAAAGCCCTCTCCTTTATTTAGCCTTTTTCTGTTTCAACCTCTCTTCCTCTCTAACCTTACTTTTGTTTCAATTTTTCTGATTCCTGTTTTTTTTTTTCTTTCTTTTTCACTACATTGAGATTGAGGTAATGGAACTGAAATTAAGGTAACATTGCATTCATGTATTCTTGTTTCTATAATCCTTCATGCTACATATTATGGTTATGTTTAAATTTTGCAATTTGTATTTTTATATACACATCATGATAATGTAGTTAGTTATTTAATGAAAGGGGTAAGGGAATTAGTTTGTTATTATAGTTTCTTTTTAAAAACCAAATCCTTTGTTGAAATTGCTAGAAGTAACCACACTGCATTGCTGTATGAGTAACTTTTGGTTAAGATAGAGACCAAATCCTTTAATGATGATAGAATCTAATGTTGTTGGAAATAAAATTATACACATTGCAAACAAAATGAAAATTTTAGATGGTGTGAATCAATTATTTTTTGGACTCAAAACCAATTTGTGTCAATCAATTATTTATCTTGTATATGAGCGAATATATATTTATAAGTGAGAGAAATCTTAAATTTATAAATTAATTTTGTAAAATTAAATTAGATTAAATTTTTGGTATCAAAACCGAATTCAAATACATAAAATCAAATGTCATTAGGTTTTGACTATCAAATCTCCTACCATTTATATTTATGCAGAGTCTAATAGTGTAAACGCGACAAAAACTACTATTAAATTTTTGCTATCAAATCCCTTATCATTTATATTTATGCACAAAGCTAAATAGTACTCACCTAGATAAGGTTACTATAAAGATTTTGCTTTGAGATCTCCCAACATTTATATTTATGCACTATAGAGATTGCTATTAAATTTTTGCTATAAAATCTTCCACCATTTTTATTTAAACATCATTCTAATATTGCTGAGCTTATTAGAGAGTATAGACAAATCATATGTGGTTATTGTTGTTTATTACTATTGTGTATTTAAGCTATCTAAACCAAGTGATTGAACTTGTTCAAAAGTTCATGTAACTTGAAACAAATCCTTGTTTTTTCTTAAATATATGGCTTAGTATTTGATTGAGATTCTTGTTTTTACAGAACATCAAGACCCTGAAAATCACTTGACATCATTGTCTGATGGAATCTAAAAATGGCAGTGGACCTAACATTCATCATACAACATTTCCTTCAACAAGCTCAAGCTCAAGTGAACCATTAACCTCACAAAACAAATCACAACTTTCACATGATGATCACATTCACTTTATGCCAAATTCTACCACCACAACACATCATCATGAAAATGCATCTTTTCTTCACACCAATGACCAAACAAATCTTGCAAACCCTTTTGGTGAATTTCATTCTCCTTATCAAAATAACAAAGGCCCTTCATTTTCATCAACTCAAAATCCTTTCTTACTACTTAGTCATCATGATACAAATGAATCTCAAAAGTTGCATGACCATGCACCTTTTGAGCCCAATTTTCATCAACTACCTAAAAATGAATCATCACTAGGAAATCCCTTCCATGACTCTCACAAATTTGTTCAACATCATGATCATGGTAATAATTGGCATCATCAAGATCATTGGAACTTTCCTAATCATGAAGTAACAACGACACATGCTTCTTCCTCAAGTCATCTATTAGACCCTTTGTTCACACTTGAATCAACACAAAACCAACAACTAGATAATGCATCTCACAAGAACCCTAAAGGTAATAATATCTCCACAAATACATAATTCAAATATGTGGTTAGTTGCATTTAATAGATGTTTAATACATGGTTAAAAAATATATCAGATGTTCAAACTCATTAACCATTGAGGTAATTTTATTAGCTATAAATATGTGCGTACCAATCATAATTTTCAAGTGTTCAAGTATACGTACCTGAAAACTTGTGGCTAATCCCATCAAAATTTGTGGTTAGTAGAATTATGTTGATGGTTAGCGAATTTTAACACATGTTATATTTATTAACCACATATTTGAAAAGTTTTTAAAATTGGTTGTCGAAACTCAAAATGCAATTTCTCATTTTACAATAAATAATGTTGCTAGAGATGATAAAACGGATCTAACCCGCATTTTTTTCAAGACGGACTAAGGTTTATCCCACAGTCTCTACTATATCTGTCCTACACTTATTTTTCAGTGGGGTAGGAAAATAGTTTAGACTCGTACTCTCTACTATATTTGTCCCGTCTGTTTTTTTCAGACTTTTGCAAAACGGACATGTTTATTTTCTACCTCTAAATGCTGCTAACAAGTTAGACTCATCAGTGTATCATTTTCCACAGGTTATGAATCTTCAACTCAGCAAAACATGCATGAGTCTCATCCTACAGGTTTTGAATCTTCAACTCAGCAACACAAACATGATTCTCCAAGTGCTTCGAGTAACACCGAGAAAGATACTCATGTACATCCAAAATCGCGAGAGGGAAACATGTTAGTTTCAGAATCTAATGATGATGATTTCCCAGTAAGATCAATGCCAAAGCATGAACAAAAAAAATCTTCAACAGTTGCATCTGTTCCCGAGACGATACAAAACCCTCCGATACAGATCATGGAAAGACAAGAGAGACAAGAGAATTGTTCTACAAGTCCATCTTCAACACCAAGAATTCCATTACATGTTTTCGATAAAGACAAACTAAATGCTCAATGGAGCAGTACCTCTAATGAATCATTGTTCAGCATTCAAATGGGAAAGAGTTTCTCGAACGACATGGCTTGGTTGAGTAAATCCGGTGAATTGGATAAGAATGTCGATCACATGAACATGTCTAGTGGTGTTCAAAGTAATCATCCTCCACTTTCACCTCAAACACAAGCCACTAAATTCACTGATATTAGCCCGAATTTCACTGAACAACATGAAAGTAATTCGAAAGTAACTGAGGCAAAAGCGGCTGAGACAATGCGAGAGGTTATAATGGAAACTAGTAAAACACCGGAGCATAATAAAAGTAAAGGTTTTACGCCAATTTCTAATGCGGCTATGCATTCGGATGCACTTTTTAGTTCTAATCATGACCATCATGACCATGACCATTCTCGGTATTCAAATGGAAGCACCCAATCTTTTGCATTTAAATCGTAAGTTCATGTTACTATCTACTTTTATACTATGAACTGAAGTACTGACACTAGAAACACGACACATATACTAACACGTTAACACCAGTAATAATTTGAAAAACTGAATAAATTGAACGTAATCACAATTGTCGGTGTTGGTTTCAGACATCGATACTAACACAGACCGATACTAACACAGAAGCAACTTTTTCTTGAGCAAACAAGTTTAACTGTTTTTTGGTAATGTGAAGATACGCAGATGGAGACAAACCTCTTTGGTCAAAACAAGACGAAGAGACGAAAAAGCAGCAGAAGCAGCCAGAATTACAGAATGTGAAAGCAACTGTCGCACCACCTTCAGCTCAAAACACCAAGCCAGCATCAAATGCTTCATCAAATGCTTCCCAAAACAGATGGCTATCTTGCTTCACATGTTGTCACTAGATCACATTAGAGTCTCTTGGCTTTGATGAAATAATTTTCCTATACAATACCGTCTTGCAAAGTATTACAGGCTTACAGCACAAGACCTCAAATTTTCTACGGTAAAATTGAGGTTAAATAGAACATTATGATAGATTTCTTGGACCTATATATGAAATGTTGTATGAGCACTTATTTGAGCTTATAGCACTTTCGTCAGTTTTCCAACATGGTAGCAAACATGTTGAAACAAAATGGACTTTACGCAACAAAGATTAGAATGGTTTTTAATTGCGGTTGCATAATGTCATATTAGAATGATTTAGTGGTTATGACGCAAACATTGATATTGCGGAAAATTCAGACAAAAGTGGCCAATGTGGTCACAATTGCGGTTGTAATTCAGTTAGGTAGTCCCGAAAACTATGTACTAAGTATTTAAAAGCTTCTGCAACTGCAATTGTGACAATTCCGGCCGCAAAATTAATGATGTGATAGTGTCTGCAAGCACATCAAACATCAAACTGCAATTGCATAATTTTAAATCTCACACGTGACCACATTATGAATCACGTCAAACAATACAATTTTACCTATGTTTGTTAAGTTTTTCATCAAAAACTCAAAATACAGGAAGACATGAAAAAACAGTAAAAGTCTTAAAATTTTAAGGGATAAAAAAAAATATAAAATATATTTTGAAAATGTCAGTTAGAAAGTTGAAAATATAGTAAGGAGGTTGGTGGAAGACGTTAGAGTCGCGAGAAATTTTTATGATTATGTTGTTGAAATTTAAAAAAAAATTGTAGGCATTTAAATGGATTGAGAAACATTTTTAAAAAATATTAGGTGTGTGTGATTTATATATAGAGAGTTTGAGAGATGTATAAACACTTGAATAGAAAATATGGTTTGTTCGGGAGACTTTGGTGATTATTTTTTTGTAACTCTTTTGTAATTTTTTGTAATAATTTTTGAAAGTATAGTGAATCTGAGAGTTGTTCTCTCCCTTAGAGTAGATCAGTTTGATTGAATTGGATAAATAAAACTCTTTGTGTTTTTGTCTTTTATTTTTTTCTTGCTTATTGTGAATTTGCCTTCATTTTTGACAAGTTATCAGATTATTGTGTTGCTTGTGATCATTTATTTTGTTGTCGTTGTACTTTGTCCCACATATAAATTTTTTTGAAACTATAAACAAATTCACTAAATTTGCTAAAGTTTTTACAACAAATGGTGTTCACCGTGGAATAAAGAATTTGTTTACAAGTGAGAACCATGGTTTCTAAAGGGCAGATCGAGAAGTTTTTTGGTGACAAATATTTTGGATTGTGGAAAGTGAATATACAAGCAATCTTAACCCAAAAGAAGTGTAATGAAGCATTGAAGGGTTATGAATAGATGCTTGCACACCTAACACAAGCAAAGAAAATCAAAATGATGGATAAAATCAAGAGTGTCATTATCTTGTGTCTCGTGATAAAGTTCTAAGGAAAGTCGCTAGGGAGAAAACTACGACTTTGATGTGGATAAAACTTGAATCATTGTATATGATCAAGTCTTGCCTCATAGATTGTGTCTGAAACAACAATCCTACTCATTCTAGATGGTATAAAACATATCTCTCGTGGTGAAATTGATAGAATTTAAGAAGATCATTGATGATGGCTAGGTTATACTCTTGCTAAGCTCATTACTCAGATTCTTTGACCATTTCAAGGTTGCCCTTTTATGGTAAGGAATATATTATTGTTTTGGATGAAGTCTAGATGGTTGTGAGATCCATGTAATTTTCAAAGGATAAAGGTTTGAAGATTGATAATAGTGGTGAGTGTTAGATGCGCTAGTGGAAAAATACTTTCTTAGCAGAGGTTTTTAAGTCAGTTCATCAATAACCCGACTTAAGAAACCACACGGTGGCAAATTCGTAAATATTTGAAACTTTGTTATGTCGGGTCTACGTTTAACCGACCTACAAAGATTAAATAAAAAAAATATAATTTTCATTAAATTTCTTAAGTCGGTTCTTTTACTGAAATGACTTAAGAAATTTATTTATTAAGTCAGGTGTTTATTACCTGGCCTAAGAAGGTCTTACAAGACTCCGGTTCGATTCTTACCTAATACATTCTAGTGAAATAAACATTATTTAATACTTAGTTAATAAATTTTAATTAAAATAATTTCTGATAACACAGTGACCTTTCTCTTTCTCTTTCTCTTTCTCTTTCTGTGCGCAGCTTTCTTCTCTAAGTTTTTGATACCGCGAAAATTTTCACCACAACTTCTTGTTCTCTCAATCCTTCACCACAACTTCCGTTTTCAGATTTGACCATTCTCTCAATCTTTCACCAATCGCCACTGTCACCATACTCACTTTCTCCAGGTTCTCTCTTCTCTCTGCGTTTTGAAATGTTAGGTTTTGAATTTTCAATGAATACATTGTAAATAGTATTTCGTGTTTTCAAATTTGAAGCAGGGTTTAGGTGATACTAAATTGTTGGAGGTTTTGGTGATACTAGCAAAGGCTTTGAACTCTGCAGATTAGGTATGTTTTCATGATTATTCATGTATGGTGGTTCAGTTTCTTTGAATGTTTGATGGAGTATTGATGAAATGTTGTTGTTAAATTGAAGATGGAATTGATTTGAATTTTAGTTTGGGTAGGTTTTCTAACTGGTATAGTTTTTCCTCTATTCTGCTGCTTGAGTTTTGATAGTGTTAGCAAGACAAAGCACACCATAATATGGTTTTCAGGAATCAAATCCGCAGCGGCCGCAACCTTACAGTTCAGGATTGAAATTCCTGTGTTTTGGTTAGGATCTTCTCTGCCCTGAGCAGTGAATAGGTTCTTTTGGTTTGGATCGGGTTTGCGCGCGTATAGGTTGCCGTTTTGAAAAACTACGGCCGCGTTGCCAAAGATGAAGTCTACCGTGCCTTAAACATCGCATTCGCGGTAGAATTGGCGGAGGGAGTGGACGTAGAGAGTGTCTTGGTATGCCACGCTACTATGCCTATTTCACCAAACTACAAAACCTGTCCAAAATAGGCAAAGGAACAAAATAATTGAGTATATGAATAAAATTATGCTGAATTTTATTGACTTAAAAAGCTAGTAACTGGCATACATTGGCATTTCAAAGAACCCTACAGATGTAACCACCAAAAGCAAAATTGTAGGATGGCCAAATATACAACAATAACAACAAAAGTAATTTAGTAATTATAAGCTATGGTTTTGCAAGAGTATTTGAATTGAATAGGTTATCTCTATCTAAATGGAACACAATCTCTTCAATTCAATTCTGTTATTCACAACTACTAGTCACTTCACTTCACTGATCCCTCTTTACCTTAAACCGCTTCCGCTTGTATACCAGCAAATTCTCAGGCCAAACCTTCCTTGCCTGTGCTCCAACCGCCTTCTTACTCACGCCAGAATTATCCTTGTGCTTCAAGTCATCTTTTGAAGAATTTTCAACTGGCATTTCCTCCATTTCTTGGGTTGGAGGATCAGTGATCAGCTGAAGAAGTTCCATAGATGTAGAAGCAGGATCCAGCTCCAGGAAACCTTTATGAGCATTTTCACCTTCTTCTCCGGTAAGCAAGTATGAAGGTACCTGGTGTGAAAAGCAAAACATCTCTTCCCTTGGAATGTTCCTGACTTTTCTCGGGTCAGCATTCTGACGGAACACTGTCTTGAAACCTGCAACCTTGGAAAGTGGAGCAACATTCAGACCGTGCTCTTCACTGTAGTCGTCAAGCACTTCCACCATTTCATATTGATGTATGACATTATCTTTAGTAAGTTCATCCCAATCAGGGGACCAGTTCTGATATAGAGCCCAAACATCCCCTTTCTTTGGATATACATGGAAAATTCCTTTGGGACCTTTTGTCCACTTGACCCTGTGAGAGAAAGAATTTAGAGTGCTGCTGATTACACGCTTGCCTAATCGAAGATCCCCGATGGTCTTTGGAAAGCCAGAACCGACCCACTTTATCGGTGCAAATTCATCATTGGTTTTAGAGCTCAGCCAGGTTATCTTCATTTGGAATGGATTCTTTGAGATCACACTGTGGATAAAGGCATAGTAGCGTGGCATTCCGTCTTCATCTTAAATTTGTGTTTTCAATAACTTTGGAGATTTAAAATATAGGGATATTGAATTACAACAATTTAATTATTTTCATTGCAAAATCATTTGTTTGGATTTTTACCCTTACACATACTGTTGAATAATTAGAACTTTAGAATGCTTGAAGAACTTTATTCTTGTTGTAATTGAATATTGTTCTTTTTGCAACATAATTGAATGAATGATTCACTTAGGACTTAAGACCACAAAGTGTGAGGAAACCTTCATTGTACAAATAAATGCTGGATTCTAATGAACCATGTTGATTCTCTTAATTCATGCTTTGTCTTTTATTATTGTGAATTTGTGGAAGCAATTAGAAATGATCAAGGCACTTGTTTCTTTCGAGCACAACCAGTTCCAAATACAAACTACCCGTGAGCAGAGAGTATTTGTTAATCCCTTTAAGCTTAAACAGTTGAATCTCAGCTTGGAACAAAGCGAGACTTCAAAAATCTTTTTCTTGAAAACCTGAAATTTTTTTATTATTGTTCTTTTGCCGTAACAAGTAAAGAACATTCACTTATGAAGGAAGTAGAAGATAAGTTGGGGAGAACGAAATTGTAAGTTGGTAGTTTGCCACAACTCTTGAAAAACCAAGCAAGCATTGAAAAGAATTTAGAAAAAGAGAAACACTTGTTTTGTGAATACAGTGTGAAAAAGAAAAAAAAATGATCAAAAGAAAAGAATGAGAATGAATGCTTGCTTGGGAGAAAAATATTGGAAAAAAATGGAGTTGTGAAATAAGAGTTGTGAAGGTTTCAAATGAGAAATAAGTTAAATAAAGTTGAGATGTGTGAATGGTTGTACAGTGAATGTCTCTTTTGCGTCGGCAACTTTGTTTTCAATGGCTTTAGATATGTCCCTTGTTTGTTAACCCGA